TGTACACCTCTTCCCTTTTCAGATTTTGCAGTAGGTTTTCTCTCCTTTTCTCGCCAGCGTCTTTTGGCCCTTTGTTATGCCGGTTTCGCTCTCTTTCGCCTGCAGTTTTAGCTTAGACAAAAGATCCACAGCCTTTTCGACGATAAAAGAAACACCGGGAGACTCAGGTGGCCGAGACACCCTCTTCCCCCCTCCCCTCTCCCCCCCCCTTTTTTTTCAACAACCTCCCACTTACTCCCCCCCCCATGCCCGACCCTCCTTTTATGTTCCCCACCTCTCTTTCCCCCTATCCGTTACGCCCACTGTACAATTCCTGCCCCCCCCCCCACCCCTGTCCCCACTTTCCTTACTCATCCCCACCTCCCTCCCCCCCCTCCTCATATCCCCCTCCACAATCCCTACTTCCCTCCCTCTTCCCCTCTTCCTTCCCCTCCCCATCCCCAAGCCCTTACCCGCCCTCCCCATGCCTACATTACCATCCCCCAACACCCCCACCCCACCCCCCCACCCTCGGCGCCAGCCCACTTCCCACCTCCTCCGTAACTTCTTAAAACACTCAGCCTGATTGGGTATCACTTCAGCGCCTGGCGAGCCCACATGCACGACTTGGGGCGATTCCTTAACGACTCCGCCTGTCGACACTGCCGCCCGCCACGCCCGTCAGATTCACCGCCTCTCTCTCTCCCGCCCTCTTTCTCTTTCTCTCTCTCTTTCCCGCTCTCTCTCTCTCTCTCTCTCCCGCTCTCTCTCTCTCTCTCTCTCTCTCTCTCTCTCTCTCTCTCCCTCTCTCTCTCTCTCTCTCTCTCTCTCTCTCTCTCTCTCTCTCTTCCTCTCACCCACTCTCTCTCTCTCTCTCTTCCTCTCACCCACTCACTCTCCCCTCCCTTCCTCTCACGCACTCACTCTCTCTCTCTTCTTCACGATCATGCTTTTTAAATCCTCTTCAAACTGCTTTAACCTCGCCACAACCTCTCTCAACCCCAGATGAGGTATGCATGTAGGTCCCCCGGCGAATACACCGCACGTCACGCCCCTGGAGCTGGGGATCAGAGTTTGTATGTATATGTGCATATATATATATATATATATATATATATATATATATATATATATATATATATATATATATATATATGTGTGTGTGTGTGTGTGTGTGTGTGTGTGTGTGTGTGTGTGTGTGTGTGTGTGTGTGTGTGTGTGTGTGTGTGTGTGTGTACATCTATATGTATATATTTACATGTATATATGCATATGTGTATATATATATACATATGTGTTTATGTGTGCATACACACACACACACACACACACACACACACACACACACACACACACACACACACACACACACACATATATCCTAGAGAAAGCGTTCAGCATACGGTGGGTCAGCGAAGGGCGTGTAAATCCCCCCGATGGCCCGTCCACTCGCGTAATTCCTCGACGGAGCCCCAGCGTCGGCCCGGGGGGGAAGCTCCGCGGGAAAAAAGACAAGGCCCTTTCACTCGAGGGTCGGACCAAAGCCCGAGGAGTATCTTGTACTTGGAACTGAACCGATGTAAACAAAGCAAAACAAAAAAAAATCCACGCTTTAAAACATCCTGTCTGTATTGATTATGTGCATATGCGTGTACACACGCGCACACATGCAGAGATATACATATACAGATAAAATTATACATAGATACATAAGCATATATACACATACACATATATATCATACATAATATACCAAATATACACAATATTTGGAATATATAATACATATATATTTACAGGGGAGGGAAGTGGGGGAGGGAGGGAAGGCGGGAGGATGGGAGGGAGGAGAGGGAGAGAGGGAGGATAATATAATTATATAATCATTTAATCACATTTATACACTAATGTTTTTTTTTTAAACATAAATGTAGGTCAACCTGTCTGCTTAGTACATTCTCTCTCTGAAAATGTTCAGGGATGTAAAAGTTCAAGTGTGTGGATGGATGCACGTACGGATATAGAGAGTGAACTGGCAGCTTTGTGGTATTGAGGACAAACGAACTGATGACAAAGGACTAACTCAACCTATTCCTATTGGTTAGTCACGTTTCCTGCCTGTTATGCTATATCGTGCCAGTCTGCTTACTAAGGCTAGCTATTAGGTGCCTTATATATCGGTACAGAAGTGTGTGTGTGTTTATGTATGTCGATAAACATGCTCTCTCCGTATGTAAGCCTATGTAAACGCGTATTTATGTGTATAAGTATGCGTGTGCATGGGATCCCGAACAATCCATTTCCATAAATAAAGCACGGTAATTACGGACGACCTGCTCCAGCTGAACCGATATTGATACCACGCTTTTCCCCTCCCCCTCCCCCTCCCCCCTCCCCCGCTTTACTCGACATCTATTTCCAGAGCAGAATCGAGCCAGACCTGCACAGAAATAACGAGGCAAAGTGGAAAGTGTAAGACTACCATGACCTTAATCCCTACAGTTTTCTACGGACGGGGGTGTATTCCCGTTGCCAAAGGTGACTTCGTAGTAATAAAGCGTCTTAAAAAAAAAACTCTTTTTTTCTTTTTCTCTCTTTCTTTCTCTTTCTCTTTCTCTCTCTCTCTCTCTCTCTCTCTCTCTCTCTCTCTCTCTCTCTCTCTCTCTCTCTCTCTCTCTCTCTCTCTCTCTCTCTCCTTTTTATCTCCTAGCACCCGTCTCCTAAAAAAATCTCTCGGATTTTTTTGTTCCTCATTTTCCCTTTTTTTCTAAAGTCGTATTTGTACCAGACTTCTTCTTCTCAATTTTTTATCGACTTCGTCACAGCTTCTTGAAGGGAAATGTAGCGCCGACGTTAATGCGTGACTGCAACGGTTCTCGGGCTGGTCTGATTTTACGCCAACTGCGGCTCCGTTCAACCGTTTCTCAATCTTGGTGATTTTGCCATTCGACGCGCGACTATCTGATTAATTACCTTAATTAAAACCCTTATACCCAATCCTTGTGTATCTTGATAACGATTAGAACTATCAAAACCTCTTAATACCACCTCCCAGCCCCCTGTTATCTTCCTGATGACGAAAATATAGACAACTGAAATGAAGCAGATGAAAAAAAAATAATAATAATACATGACCGTGAAAAAGAAGGCCACAATAACCACACCGACAAGAGAATTAAAACAATAAACAAACACAACATAAAAAAAAATAAATAAACGACAACACGGAATCTCACGACATTCAACAGCACCCCCCATCCTAACGACGGAACCCTCCTCCCTCCTCCCTCCTCCCACCAGCAGGCATCCTCCCCTTGAGGTCATCGTCCAACATCTTCCCAACTCCCCATTCCCAGCTGATTCCGGCGCCTCTCTCTTTCTTTCCCTGGCTGCGATTCCTCCTCCTGGTAATGAGGCGGATCCGCGACTACAGAGGAGAATTAGGGGAAGCTTAATGAGGACATGAGTAATGAGTTCTGAGGACGGCGTCTCGGGGCTCTGAGCAAACCGTGGCGACGGCGAAATGACGGCGTTAATTATCTCCATCGATGCCCTCCCTGCAGCTTTCGAAAACGTACATGCCTCAATAAAAAAAATAAAAAAAAATAGTCACGTAATAACAGGTGAAAAAAACGGGAAAAAAATAATACATCTCAATGTCTCAATAAAAAAGTGGCTGAATGAATGGATAAATAAATGTATAACTAAATAAATAAGTAAATAAATAAATATCCAAACAAGTACACGAACAAACATAAATAAATTGCATAAACAAGCAAACAAACAACAATCAAAGCAAGGGAATAACAGGTGGCAGAAGGAGGACAAAGCAAGCATTAGCAGGGTGAATCAAGTCCCTTTAAAGAGCGATCCGGACGCCGCCACTGTTTATCTGAACGGACGATGCCTCCCTTCCTTCCCGCGTTGCAAGATCCGCGACCCTTGCAACCTTGCCGGACGCCCACACGGCACCTCATCCCACAAGTTTGCTCATTACGGGGTTCCCTGCACTCGAAATAAATCTCCCTCTCTTCCTTGTCTACTCCCCCCTCCCCCCCCTGTTGTATATTGCTTGAAACGGGGTGGGGTACTTAACGGGATGCGGGATGTACTTCCAATTTCCTTCTATTCTTACAAGGGTGAATAGACACGGTAAGAACAGCTACTTCTATGTACTATGCTATCAATACTACACGCCACTAGTCAACAGCCATGGCCCACAATACCCATTCCTCAGGAAGCGCTTATCCTTCTACCTTCACTACCTCCCCCCCCCCCTTTATACGCCCTCACACCCCACTGCAGACACACACATCGGCGTGGGCGGCTACTCATCATCCCGTGGTCAATATCGGGCTTTTGACAACACACATTAAACTAATTTTTCCAGTGTAACATCCGGTGTCCGTCACTAGCTCCCGGCATGGCTTCGCTTCTCACACCTGCGTCCATCCCTTCCACTCAGCCTTTATTCATCATACTCATCATGATCCTGTTCGGTGTGTGTATGCCAACATGCCCTTACAATACCCACCTTGCCCTGGGTGTGCAACCCGTAAGCGCACATGTACACACGCACACACACGTCCACCTGCCTTACCCCGTGTGCCTTCTTACCTTCACAATCATGGTCATTACTTCTTATTATTACCTTCCACCGCAAACTTTTACACTTGGAGAAATACTCGGACAGATATTACCTCACATTCACTTGCACTACTTGTTCTTTTTCCTCTTTTCTTTTTCTCATTTCAGTATAAAAAAAATAAAAAATAAAGAATCAAGCGTTTCCGGCAAAAAATATATATATATTTACGAAATTGAAATGCATTTACGGTCCTCTGCAAGCTTGATCAAAAGCATTACATCTTGCCAAGCTTGGTTCCTGACGTTCGTGAAGCGGAGATCGCTATCTTGATTTTGTGTTTATTATCACCGTTAAACAAATGTGTGAATCGATAGAGCCCGGCGTCATGGCACACTCGCCACGCACCACACCGGCATGAAAAGGGAGGTCGATTTACCACACTCAAAAAAAATATCCAGGAATTTATCCAAGCAGATGGGTCGTGGGGAGAAAGAAGAGGGAGCAGTCGGCACAAAAAGTGGGCGTGTCCTCTCCCTCGCCCGACCTTAGACGCACTGACACGCGCGCTCTCCACGTTGCCAATATTCGGGGCTGGAATGCGGCGTCCCGGCAACCCGGCCGTTGCCACACGCCGCCAGATCCCGCGACCAGCTGGAGTAGCTTTACTCGCGGCGCCCCGCTTCGTCCTCATCCCATACCTTCCCCCTCACCCCCTCAAGCTGATATACTAGTGTATCTTGGGCTATTTTTAGATCCCCGTTTTGTACTTCATTTCTCTTTCCTTTCTTTTTCTTCCCCTCTCCCCTCGCCTCGGATGAGATCTGATAATTACGAGTGTGTATGCTCCTTCACGTTCACAGTACACACGTCGTGTATCGACCAGGCTTTGTTACTGTTGTCTTTATCTGACGATTTCTTGGGATTCTCTGTGTTATAAATAATAACTTTACAAACCAGTCTTTCTGCGTATTCCCTAAACTCTAAAAACTACCG